TGTAGATATAATAATATATTAAAATCAGTTAGCACTGTATTGTCTATATTCAACAGTATTTTACAATTGTCAAGTGTTTGTGTCTAATTGCATGCTAATTTTTAAGTTCTTTTCCACAAATCACTGAAAATGAAATATCAGACTAATTTTTGTGACTGTTAAAACTTCAGTGCATTCAGATGTTTATAATTTACCTGCAGGATTTTTATCTTTCTCTTTGTTTCTAGTTCAATAGGACAACATAAATAAAATATAGAAAAAACATTATAGGTTGCCCATTTTTGGTCTGTCTTACAGAACATTTTCTTCTCTCTTCAGAGCTTTTTTCACTCATATTTTAAATAACTCAGGCAAATGAGAATAGCTAAACCATTTTTCAAACACCTGAATGTATTGGTTTCTATGCAATTTTATATTTATTACATCTGCTTATTGCAGTTTTAACTCTCATAAAGTTCTAAAGTTTTTTTATAAATTAGGCTCCCCAGGAGTTAATAGATAACTGTCAAAGCCACCTTAATAGCTTTTGGCTATATAATAAATTAAAATATACAATATTTTATTTTGTATATGTTATGTTTTATGTAGGTATTAGTAGATTAATATTAATTATATGTATATATTACATAATGTATACATATAAAAATAAAAACATAACACCAAGTTCTGTAAAATGCTATTGTTTGGTAATCCTTGGTTGACTGATTGATTTGTCCTCTGTAAAACCTTTAGAGACTGGAAATTTTAAATTCTATTTCTTGCACATCCTAATGTCAAATCCTTTTGACATTAATAAAATAAATAAATACAAAAATTATTTTTGCATGAATGCATATATGTGTATAATACCCTGGTGTAAGGATTATATCAATTATAATTAATTTTTAAAAGCATTTTTGTCCAGGCCTCACTGAAGGTTGACCAAATGCAGTGCCTTGTACATTTGCGTTTTAGGTAATGACAGGAAGAAAAGAGCAATGCAGTTAAGCCTTACAGAGGTTTATTTTCAGTTAAATTGAAATAGGATTTATTGATCAAGGAAGCACTCTACAGCATAGTAGGTGTATGTCATTAAAAAATATCTTTAATTTGCTTTAATTGTGTTCAAATACACGAGATTTAAAAACAGTTGTATTTGGTAATATTATGTAAAACCTGGGGTATTTGTTTCCAGACATAAAAATTAAATTAGGAGTAGTCCAAATATCTCTTTCTTATACCAAAGATATGTATGTTATTTTTTCTGCTGTAGCAACCTTAGACTTGATGACAACACCCACACAGCAGTCTGGTTTCACAGGTTATGCACAGCTGAACAGAGACCTTTCCTCTGACAGACATTTCTGTCTGTTGTAGCAGATGCATTTACATGTGTCAGTTTAACTTAATCAGTTTAAAATAAAGGGAGATTAAATTACAATTTGCTCTTAGTGGTAGTGCAGTAAGGATGAAATTTGTTTGGTTTTCTCACATATTTCAGCTGATCATCTAAAAGACGTTTCCCTTTGCTACAAACCTGGTCCTTTCAGCTTCTCAGCTACAACCAAGTACTGCTAGAACCAGAAAACAGTTTTGCTTGCTACAGCTCAAGGCTGTAGGGGTGATTTTCTAATTCCAGTTGGCGACATTACACTTTATCTTCTGCAGAGTCGGAGCTGTACATCAGTTGATTTCCATTCCACAAACCTTGCACAGGAAAAAGAAATATGATATCTTGCTTTTGCCAAAATAAATGGGAGTATAAAAAGGAGAAAAAAAAAATTGGATGCCTTGTTAAATATTCAATGAAAAGAGAAGTTCATATGTCAAAGCCAACATCTTCAAGCTACACGGAGGATTTTTGTGTATCCTTCTCTACTTAATTTCAGTGTGTCAGGTTCTTCCCTTTGATCACCAACCATGTTTTTAAGCCTGGCTGTCATTAGTGTTGAAACACACTCTTGACTATTCACTGCTGATTGTGCTACAATTCACAAGTCACAGAATCCAAACTTAGTTTTGTAAGGGTTTTGCTTGTTTCCTTGTTAAATTACTGCCAGACTTTTTGAAGAATAGCAGTGTATTCTGATTATTGTGGACAAGTGTATGGAGGAAGAAAAGCTTTTGAGCAATGCAACCATTTTTTTTTAGCTGAAACTTGTGGCTTAAAGTATTTTGCTCATACAAAAAGGAGAAGTGTGTGTACTCAGTAAAAGAACTTGAGGATGAAATAGCCAAGCTCCTAGCTGCACTGTGTAATCCTTCACTTAAACCTGCCTGACTACCACAGGATTGCCTTGCAGAAGTATTTCAAAAAAATGTTTCAGGAAGGATCAGAAAAATATTAACTGATAAATCTGGCATCTCTATAAGGTGAATTAGTTATAATATGGAATGCAGTTAGTGAACATGTGAATAAAATACAACATATACAGGAAGAATTGACAAAGCTTTTGTTAAGAGAGGTTGTGCTTCAGTGCTTTGAAAAAGTCTGGAAGCAATAAAGAAGTCCTGGTCAATACAGTCTTTTGGGGTTTCTAGGCAGCATTTCCCACAAGGGAAGGTGATTTTTGAAAGAGGAGAGAATCCTGAACTGCACAATTCCTTGCCACAGGATGTTATGAATGTTGTGTTTTGTGGGCTACAAGACTGATCAGTTGAACTTATCAGAGTACAGAGGCATAAACCCCAGTTTAGAAAATCCCTGGCCACATTTTTCATGTGAGGCAAGTGAAAGCATTGTTACATTTTCACCCGTTCTCACAGCCTTTCTTTATCTCCCACTGCTGAATGCTGATAGAAACTGAATAGTGTGTCTTTTCTCTAACCCAGAGTGTTCTTGTAAGGGTGCAATTGCACACATGGAAATTTCCAGAAAATATGGTCACTGGAGTTTTCAAATGGTATACCTTCGGGGTTTGATAGATGAGCTGTAGTGGTATATGACTTCAGTATAACATTGTACACTCTTGTCAAAATATTTGGTTTTCCAGAGAGATGTCTGCTAATCTGGGGACAGATTTTATCAGTGCGTTCTAGTGGTCTTTAATGGCACTTCCATGAGGGTATTCTCTGTTGATTTTCTTCTCTTTGTCAGTATTACATGAAGCATTTAAAATAGTAAAATATGGTCGCAACTTTAGAAACAGTGGCAAAATATGAATCAAATTAACTTAGATTATTCTAATGTAGTGAAAGTCTTTCAGTGTTTTTTGTGCTACTTCATGCCTGTAGCATTTTGTGTGGAGGTACAATAACCTATAATTACTATACCTTTTTCTATTGAAAAATGTATGCAGAAAGTTTCTGATTATCTATACCTTTTATTACAGTGACACTTTAAAAGGTTTCTAAAAAAAAAGTACAAAGATTATTTTCTGATATATATATATATATATATATTTATCTTTTGAAAAATTAGGACTTTCAAGAGATGTGCTGAAAAAAGACCAGGAAGTTGGTATTGTCCTACAAATATCAGTGAAACCATAATAAAACTACATAGGTGCTCTTATCATACATTCAATATGTCAGTAACAAAATTCAGTTACTATTGTCCATCTTTCAAAACTGCAACAAGAAAGAAATTATGCACTACTTCCCCTTCCACAGCTTCTGAGAATGTTTCTGGCCTCTTTTGGCTCATTTTGTTTGCTAATCAAGTCCACCTAAATATTTATAAATAATCCAAATAGCCTCACTGCTGTACATCATCAATACAGTTCTTTGCAGAACCGCTGGAAGGTGAGGTGAGTTTTTTTCTCTTCTACTACATCTCAGTTACATGCTGATTAGCTGAGATTGTTACCTTGTATATCAAGAGCTACCAGCTCTTTGTAATTTCTCTATTTTTTCTTTTCTTTTTTTTTTTTTTTTTTTTTCCCCTCTGACACTTGGGAATGTAGCATGAACAGAACAGCACCATAGCTGCTGAAAAATCAACTCTTTAAAGATACACGCATTACTTGGAATAAGTCACTCCTTCATCTTCCTTTTTAACAGCTGCCTTATAACTGGAGTTAAAAACTGTGAACATCCTACCCCTTGATTATATGCAGGTGGCTGACTTCTCCACTAGAAACCCTGCCTTTTTTCTTAAACTGAGATTTTAGCTGCTAAAATTTCTGTTAATAAAACTCAGCTTGACTTCCTGAGTCCATATTTCTGAAAAGTGCTATAGTCCATGGTGACCAGGGTGCCAGTGATTTGTATCTTTTGTGTCATTGTCATGTCATGACAAAACCTTCCCAGCCAGTTCAGATCCCTTGTGGTTTCTCCTGCATACCTTTTTTCAGCCCCTTCAGAAATTCCAGATCCTCTTTCTTTTCCTTTAATAAAGGTTCAAATTTTTCTTTGATTAAAAGAAAGGTTTTATGACCTTTTTAACTCTTTCTTTACTTTTTACTGGAAAAGTGTTTCTGAAGAAAACGTGAAAGTGAGACACACCATTGTTCTTGCATCACTGATATGAACAACAACAACAAAAATGCAATTTTAGAATATAATTATAGAATGTGACATGAGATTTCCTGCAGGGTTTTCTAAAACCATGTTTTATTGACTCACAGAATGTCCTGTTAATCTCAGTGCTGTTTTCATAGTATTATTTTCCTGGAAAAAAAAAGTGTTAGTAGTATGAAGTCAGTTATTTTCTCAGAAGAGCAAGGCAGAATTTTTTCTGTTTTATTCTGTATTTATTTCAATTTCATTAATTGATCTTTGATTCTTCTGAAAAAAGTAATTAAAAGAATTTGTATAGAATATGTCTGCTAATTGGTCTATTTATCTTGATAGAAAAATATAGAGGAAAATATGTTTGTGTGTTTTTATGTGTTTTCTCATGTATGTACTCCTAATTTGAAGAGACGGGTTTCACATAGTTCAGAATTATGAAACATGTCATTTACAAAGTGCATGGCAGCTGCTTTTCAAAACTCAGTCTCAGCATTACTCAGTGTGTGCGTGGAGCTGAGTTTGCCATCTGCAGAGCTGTGTATTTCATGCCTTTCCTATCTTTCCAGCTCTGATAGCCATTGGGAGGTACAGCATGACAATAGAGACTGTTGATGTTGGATGGTGCAAAGAGATCACGGACCGTGGAGCCACCCAGATTGCTCAGCGCAGCAAATCGCTCCGGTACTTGGGACTGATGAGATGTGATCAGGTAAGGAGCCTTTTGCCTGATTCTGTCTGTGAGTGTTCCTGTGTGTGTGAGGGAGGGAGGGAGGCAGGGAGGCAGCAGGGTTTATGTTTTTCTGAACAAAAATGTTTAGTATTCACTATTGTGGCAACTGTTCTGGTGTGCTGTGTTCACATAAGCAGCTCAAAAGGCACCCAGAGGACTAGTAGGAGCATTATAAATGTTTGCTGACGTAGATTTTCAAAATACACCCGTAGGTTACACTCACAGCCTGAGGTGCTCACAGAAGTTTTTTGTAAAATCTGCCCTCTGACAGTTTTGAATATTTTTTGTCTGAAAGTGGTTGGTATGTCATGTTGTAACTGTGACAGGCTACTTTGTTTCTTGAAGAGAAAGGGGGAAAAAAAAGGTCTTTAGCATTACTTCAAGAGTGATTTAGTGATTTTCTATATATATCCGTGCCCTTGATCATATATCATGGTTTTGAAAACAGAAGGACAGAGATTTGAATAAAACCATAATGCTAAAAAGAGAAAAAAAATACTGAGTTTCTTACTGTGTAGCTTTATGCTTGTAGTAAGAAAGTCTCTAAGTTTCAGCACTTTATCATTAGAAGAAAAGAGGAAAAGGCAGTCCATCTCCACTTCACCCTGTATATAGCCTTCAGAAATCATGTTCCTGTTTAGGAGATCAAGAGGTCCGGGAACACAGCAGAAATAGCTAAAAGAAAAGTCACTGGAGGTCCAGAGTCTCTGACCTCAAGTCTTCACATAACCCTGCAGGGATTGTTTCTTTTCCAGCCATCATCAACAAAATGTCTGGCTTGTGGTGCCCATCATAAGCATCTCTCAGGCCTGTGGATATCTGATTGGATACACCCTATGGAAAAACAGGTTTTAGTCTAAGAAACTTCAGGCTCCAAACCATTACCTTGCATCCTCCACAGTGCACTCCAGAAGACAGTGACAAAACCCACTGTTGCAAATGGCAAGGAATAATAATAATGTCCAGGTCAGTGGTAAAGTTAGAAACAGCACTTTGCAAAGCCAGCCTTATGCAGTTTCCAGTTTGTGAGGAGGTTGAGCACTTTGGAAGAATTGTTCTGCCTAACAGAGCTGAGCCCACTTAATCTCCTAAACATTAGTGTTTTATAAGAGCCAACAGACAAAAAGAGTGTGTGAATCTCTGATGGATTGTGCTAAGATTATGTACTTAGAGAATGTTAAAAGGGTAACAGCTTGACCTCAGGAACTAGATCTGACCAGGAAACATCTAACCACTCCTGCACATGTGAATTATTTTGTGAATTTAGCTAATGTTGAAAAATCAACAAGGATCTAATAAGTGCAATAATTTTATCCTGTCTTCAACTGCTATAGAAAATCAATTATCTTGATGCTGAAAACAAGCTTTAGTGTCTCATAAGTTAAACTATATGTAATTTTTGTAGACATGTACTACAGTCTGTATTCCTCTAATTGCTGGTAAATGCTTTTCTAGTTCTTTAGACGAGTATACAACATCTTTTGTGTTTTGAAAGTCAACTGCTAAAAGGAAAAAAAAAATAAATATTACTTAAGAAAGCTTCAGAAAAGCACTGTTGACTGTGTTCCTGCAAGTGTGTGTGCGCATCTGCAAGTATTCAAAGTATGGTAGATAAATGATCTTAAGGAATTCCTAAATGCTGTTACAGTGAAGAGTGTAGTAGTGGGACTACCACTGGGAATATTTTCTTGTTTGCAAAGCCTTGATGGGAAGAATGGCTCCACAGACAGAATGAAGTAAGTATCCTTGACTTAAGGGACTTTTGGCAGCTAGAAGATGCCAACTCCCTTTTTCCACTGCAAATGAACAGAGAAATTACTGAACAAAATTGTGTTCTCAACTGTCTCTCCCCAGTATCATGCAGAACTAATTTTTTCCAGTGGCTGCTCTATTAAATTAAAAATGTCAGTGTCGAACACATCATTAAAGAGAATTCTTGGGTGGTGCAGAGGGGTTTATGTACACTCCCTGTTGGCCAAAATTCTTGTCTTTGTACTGGTGTCAGCTTGCAGTGAAGAGGTTAGAAGATTTGTCCCCTCTAACCAGACTTCCTTTCCTTGAGGTAATGACTGTTATGCTAGTACCAGGTAGCTTTTATGCCTTTCTAAGAATTCCCAGGCATTTGGAAGGGAAGTATTTAAACACAGTTACATAAGTAACATATGTAAGTAGACTTCAAATGGGTACCACTAAAATACTCTTTATGAGCCAGGCTCTTTGGAATTTCTTTGATATGCACTTGACATAAATTAGAGGCGTCAAGGGTCCTCCCCAGAAAGATCAAGAGAGGCTGCAAGCCTGGGTAAAGACAGTCTCTGTTTCATGCCATTGATTATCCAAGTGCCTCCAGGCAATGTGTTTCAGTAGATGCAGAGCATTATTGATACACACCATGAAAATAATCAAATTACTCATTTTTCATCAAACTGCTATTGCCATGACCTTTCTTTTTATCATTTTTCCTACCATCTAACATGCACACCACAGGAGCATATTTTGTTTGCCTTAAAATAGATGACATTGTGTTGAGAAATGTCATTAAAAATGCTGACTTTACCATGAGGTCATCAGAATGAGAGTATATATTTCAGTTGGAACTTTTCTGTATCAGATAGGATACATGAGAGACTATCACCCAGACCTCCAGAAGTGTGAAAGCCGTCTGGACTCTAAATATTTTTAAATACCTGTGTTCTGGACAACAGAATTCCCCACCTGTCTGCATAGCAACGTGAACAGTACAGCTAGGCCCCTTCTCCCTTCTGATGTCTCTCACAGGACAGGGTATTGACTGTGCAGATAAATGTTTGTGTACATGGGTATGTGCGCATCTATGCAGGCACCAGGCAGCACTCAGGACTGCACAAGTCATGTGTTCCACAGAGAGAAAATGTTGCCATTTTGAGCCTCCATTTCTTTTGAATGCAGTGACAGATACAATCAGCAGTTATTTAAGGCCTAAGCAGGACATTTTAGAGGTTTGTAATTGGAAAAAGGCATGAAAGATAAGGCATTTCTGTTTTGCATTCCAGTGTTACTGCCTGTGTTTGCGCCGTGCTGCTCTCCCAGGGGCAGCAATCCAGGCTTCGTTCCTTTGTGTCACCTCTTCACAGTGCTCTGGGAACAGGGTGGAACCACAGACTCCCCACTCCTCTGCACAGAGTGCTGTGCTGCTGGGGGTTGCAGCCCAACATTGTGTTTTAGGACTGGATGTGGCTGTGCAAGAGCACATGGCGGGTTGGTGCTGCCTAGGGGCACAGCAGGTCTTGCTTTGTCACCCAAGTAAACACCAAGAAAAGAATAACAAGGGGTAATATTAAATTCACTTCATTTTAGTTCCCCACAGCAGAAAGAGAACATGACTATCTGTTCTTTCAACCAAATTTTAATTCTAGCTCTGTATTTTTTTATCACAGCTTAGGAGAGGGGATATTTTAAAGATAATTCAATTTCCTTTAATTACTTTAAGTACCTTGAGAAAGGTGTGGGCAGTTACAGGATGCTTTCTTTCCTCCCACAAACACTGACATCAGAATTCCTAAGAGCTTTACTTGCATCCTAAGGGCATAAAATTATGCCTACATCAAAATAACAGATTTAAATGCACATTTTGAGTTTTACTTTCTGAACACAGTGTACTCTACATTCCTATCATTAAACTGATCTAGATCCTATTTACTTCTTCTAGTTACTTGATTATATTATTGATATTTTGGTATATTTTGTATTTCATATTAAAAAAAAAAAAAGTGAAGGAAAAGGGTGATGTTCTCTATACTATTTATTGCTAGAACTCATTTGAAAGATTTCTTTATAGCACTTCTTTCTTGTGCTCTCACAAGAAGTGAAACAGCTTTAAATAGTGGCAGCTTGAAATCTTTCCCCTTGGGGAAAATGGCTCAGTATCAACTAGGAAGTAGGGCCTAAAAATTTGTTGGGTTTTTTTGTTGTTTTTTTTTTTCTGGGTGATAGCTTGACTGGTTGAACAATGCGACACAATAATCTTCCTGCAACTTTTCTCACACACAATTTTCATATTTCAAGATCCTTTTCCCGTAGCTGGTGAAATTTGGAGTGGTTATCAACAGTGCTCCCACATAAATGCAGGAGACATTTCATGAGAAAATAGGCAGAAAAATGACCTGAAAAACAGAGGCCACAAAATTCAATATTCACCATTATGTGTGAATGAAATGAAGAGAGTCCAACAAAGTTGGCTTTGAGAGAACACACAACTTAGTTAACAAGTCATATTGGTCCTTATTCCTTTCTTCTTTCTTTGTATTTTTTGAGATTAATTTCTCAAAAAATAGATGGTTGCTTTTCATGAAAATATTTCTGGAGGCCTGTAGTTTATTCCAGATGATTTTCTCAGATAAATTGTAGCATATATTTCCTATTCTGGTTTTGCTGAGGTATTAGAGCAGGGAGGTTGATGGCCAGTACAACTGACAAAATGACAAACTGTTTTATGTTACTGGAGAGAGGAAGAAAGATAAATGATTCTGAAAAATGAAAAGGGTCAGTTAAGAAATCATTTGCATCTTAAGTAAGAACAAGATTTTTAGACAATATGTGGATTTTTAATATAATTTATCACTTTGTTCTTCTACAAAACCTGTTTTACAAAAATTTTTAAACACATATTCAGTGAAGACTGCAAATCATTAGCCTAGCATGAATGCAGCTACTGTTGTTTAAGAGAAACATTTTTACCCATCACTCACAAGCATTTAATTTGCATAGCTAGTCTGCAAGGTAAGTGAAAAAGAGCATTAGCTTTTTTATATATCCTAGGTTCTAGACATACATCTTTCAATTTCAAATATACTTTTGAGCTAAACTGTCCTTAATCAATGGCAGAATAGTGAGAATACAGAGCCATGGCTTGTTTTAATATAATTATCACAGCAATTTGCCTTCCACTTCCAGAAAATGCTATCATTAGCCTGATCAGAAAACCTGCCAAATTGCTACCA